GGCGGGCCGGAGGGACGAGGGCGGGCGAGAGGCGCGCGCTGGGATTGGCGCCGAAGACCGGACCCTCAGCCGCTAGGGGTAAGTGTGGGCGCCTGGGAGTACGCCACCGGGTGCGCGGCGCGGTTCTCGACGCCCGCCAACCCTACCCCCTCACCTCTCCCGGGCCCCCACCACGCGCACCCCTCCCTTGCCGCCTGCGGCTTCCTCTTGCTGTTCGTTGTTTGGCTGGGGTTTTTTTTGAGGGGGGTTGAGAAGCCGGTGATTGTAGTGTGTGTGCCAGCGGAGGAGGAAGTCAGGTGAGAGGGCCCTACGCACCCCCCCGAAACCCAGCCCGCGTGGGGTATATCGCTCCCCACTAGGGGCATGTGGGCCAGTTTTTTTCTCTAGTCAATGTTCGGTCGAGACGATCTCTCCTAGGGGGCCTCCTTCCCTTACAGCCAGCTCTGTCCATCTCCCTCCATCCTACCCTCGCCCCTCTCAGCACCCATCCACGAGTGCTGCACCCCAACTGAGGAGCACGTGGTGGAAGGAGAAGGAGGGGGGCCCTCTTAAAGACCCCCACCCCGCGCCCCTGCCCATTTGTTTAATATGTATCCTCCCGTCGGCAGCTGTACTTTTCTTTAAAATCCACTGGGAAAAGACCGTGAACTGAGGTCCAATTTCTCCAAAAAGCTGGAAGCAAAGGGGGCAAGTGATGAGAATTTAATGACAGGGGGTGGTGGAGGAGAGGGGCAAGGGAAGCTTCCCAGAAGGTGAATGAAACTCCAAAAACCTCTGCAAGAGCAGAGTGACTTGGAGGTTCAGGACCCCAGGCTAAGGAGAAATGAGAACTCCATCAACTTTGCCCCTCTCCTCCTGCCATCCTCCACCCCCACCCCCACCCCGCTGCTAGGAAGCTAACAGGTCTTTTGTTTTGTGTCGTGTCGTCTTGGGGAAATTTGCATTGAGTATGACAACAGAAAATTACTACTGTTTACTCAAAGTTAAGGGGATTGCAGAAAGGAAAAACAGTCTTCTTTTTTCTTCGTGTGTGTGTGTGTGTGTGTGTGTGTGTGTGTGTGTGTGTAGTTGTTAGGTTCATAGCTTGAACTGCAAAACGTCAGTTTGTAACAATAAGGACTGTAGAGCCGCCTCGGTGTATTTTTAGAAGCTGCACTTTCTTGAGTTCCTTTCACACAAGGCTTGCTCTCTCATTAAGTCCCCATACATAATTGTATTTAGAGAGAAGGAAACTATGGAAGCAGGAGGGAGATTGCTAAGATCTCCATCTCGCCAGCGCGGAGCACTGTTTGCAGTGAAGTTCCTGGAAAGTGACTGTGGGCTGAGAATTCAGTTTTTCCTAAAAGCTCTGTTAGGTCCTCTTCTGTCAGATGTCTATGAATAAAGCACGCCGGGAAAATCCTCATATTCGTGCAGTCTTATTTTATCTTTTACACAGTGGTTGATTCTACTTTCAAGTCCTGGTAACAGCACATCAAATGTGCTGTATTTTTGTGTGGTTTTTCTAAATAAAGGAGGATAGCGCATGTATTCATGCTGCTTTCTGATATGCCAGTTCTTTCCTATCAGTGATATTGGATTCACTGGAATGTCCATCTTTTTCAGTTGATTGTCATTTTATGCGAAGGCAACAATTCCAAAGACATAAGAATATAAAAAGTTTATGAATTAGTGTTATTTTAGAGAATTAACCTTGTTTCTAAGATGCAAGTGCCCACCTCAACTCCTGGTTCTGTAAAGCAAAGGAAAAAGATATAAATGCCATGGGCAAAAACAAAACACAAGATTTCCCTCCTGGACCACTTTCTGCATACATAGGACCCAAGAGACACCAAATCTCCTGCCTTAATTTACCAAAATGCTGAATTGCCTAACTAGTACCAATATCTCCATCTGGGAATGACATCATTTTTGGAATGGAAAGAATAAATTCTCAGTCTTTAATTACTCCTTATTAGCAATTTCTTATACCAGGCAGCTGATTCTCCAATTCTGAAAGGCTGAAGTGAAGCTTAACAGAAATTGAAATACAAAAAAAAAAAAAAAGATTGATTTTTTTTTCCTTTACACACTCTTACATACTCATTTATTTCCCAAAGTTATCAGCTAAGTCCCCCGAATCTAAAGTGTGATATGCTCCCCTGAATTAAACCAAAGGAACATTTTGCCCTGACCTTGTGAATTTGCTTTTTTCCCCCTAAATAGTCTTGAACAGAGAGCTCACAGGCTCTATTATAATACAGAATTATGTAATGATGCGTACAGTGCATTAAGTAACATAACTTGATAAACTCTTTTGTAAGCGTTGCCCCCTGGCACATAGTAGGAATACATTAAATACTTACTGAATTAAGATGTTAATGAAATATTGTAATTGGCCACAAATTCAATAGTACTAGGATAAGCCTTTTTTTTTTCCAAAAGAAAAAGGTATTTTGTTTGGAAGTTATTAGGGTAATATATTTCTGCTCCTAGATTTTTTTTTAACAAGTCCAAATCTAATTTAAATGGTTGAAAGACAAGTAAATATGAAACATATCAAATGGTCAATAATAATAACTCGTGTCAAAAGCTGATTATTTTCTTAGGACAATAGACAACAAATACTGCCTACTAAATAGTGTGAGAAAGATGCAAAGGAAGGATAAAACAGTACTGGCCTTCAAGGAATTTGTTTGGTGGCAAGATGACATCAAAATGTGAAAAGACAACTCAATGGATCCGTAAATGGATGAAATCAAAAGAATATTTGAGAAAATAGATTTTTTCTTTTTTAGATCAGAGGAAATAGACATCCTGAAGTTCCTGGTTGGAATGTATTTTTGAAGTTAATTTGTCAAGTCAAACCTTTAGGGGCTATCAAGGCAAACACCTTGAGTGAAGGAGAACTTACCACTTACCTACATAAAGGCAGAGATTTTATCTACAGAATAGTTACCACAGGGTAAAGTTCAATGTATATTGTGTGTATAAATGAGGAATATCCTAAGTAGTTCATTCCATCTTTGTATACTTTATTACATTTTTTTAAATTGAACAAAATTGATGCAGGCTTTCCTAAAACTTTCAACCCTGAAACTCCTAAATCCTATAAACCCTAAAACTTCCAACCACTAGTCTTAGTTCTGCCAAACAGAGCAAATCTGTTGTATTAGTCAGGAGAGGCTATCTTATGCCAGAATAACGAACAATTCCAATGTTTAGTGATCTACAATGACAAAAATTGTTTTCTTGGTCGTGCTGAGTCCATTGCAAGTCAGCTGCTCAGTTCCATGTCTCCTCATTCAGGGTCCCAGGCTGATAGAACAGTTGCCATCTTGAACGTTTCATGTTGTTATGGGAAAAATAAAGATCATTCAGAGGGTGTCAGGTTGGCATTTAAATTCTATGACCAGGGGCGCCTGGGTGGCTCAGTCGTAAAGCGTCTGCCTTCGGCTCAGGTCATGATCCCAGAGTCCTGGGATGGAGCCCCGCATCGGGCTCCCTGCTCAGTGGGGAGCCTGCTTCTCCCTCTCCCACTCCCCCTGCTTGTGTTCCCTTTCTCGCTGTGTCTCTCTCTGTCAAATAAATCTTTAAAAAAAAAAAAATTCTATGACCAGAAGTGACACACGTCATTTGCGCTCACAACTAATTGGCCAATACTAGTTTCACGGCTCCGTAGAATCATCACAATGAAGCCAGATAATGCAGCCTACCTTGTGCCCCAAAGTAGAGAGCTACGGTGCACAGCTTTTAAGGACTAACATACTCTTAGTAACCCTTGTGCACTGATATCCTCTAGCTAAATGATCCCACCCTGCTCCTTTGTGGCCTAAATGTTTCATTCTTCAGGGTAAACACTGCTGGAGAGGCCACCAAATTATAGGGAGACATGCATACTGTGACTTTTTTCACCATCTATTCTCTCTTTGAATGCAGCGCCACAGTCCCACCCCTTCTCCCCAAATTGCGGTGGCCTATCAGTTTTAAGCCACTTTTTATGTATTTCCTAATATTATATGTATTTTATTTTTTCAAGACTTGTTTTCCGAGAAAGGGTAACATGAACAGGAACCTTTGAGACTTGTTATCTGGGGGAAAAAAAGTGTTATCTGAAGATGTCATGATCATGATCAAATTTTGAAATTTTGTCTTGAATAGTTACTTCCCTTATTTTAAACATCAGAATTTTACAACACAATTAAAAAACTCCCTTGGAAGTATTCATTCATTCACTTACCCATCTTTTTGTTCATTCAATAAATACTCACTTATTGATGCCAGATACTCTGTTAAGAACTGCGTATATGGAGATGATTATGAGTTCTTCTTTTCAAGAAACATATTTTCGAACTGGGCACACAGAAAGAAAAGCCATTGCAATGCTAATAGAGGCACAAAGTGCTATGGGAATACTTGGGAAGGAGCAAATAACTCTGGCAGGATTTAGGAAAGTTCATAGAGGAATTGAACTAAGTACTGAGGATAAGTGAGACTCTTCTAGGCAGAAAAGGAAGATAGAAGATATTTCGAGGGGCGCCTGAGTGGCTCAGTCGTTAAGCGTCTGCCTTCGGCTCAGGTCATGATCCCAGGGTCCTGGGATTGAGCCCCGCTTTGGGCTCCCTGCTCAGCGGGAAGCCATCTTCTCCCTCTTCCACTCCCCCTGCTTGTGTTCCCTCTCTCGCTCTCTCTCTCTGTCAAATAAATAAATAAAATCTTTAAAAAAAAAAAAAAGATATTTCAAGCAGAGAGATCAATGTGAGTAAAGGCACTGGGATGACCAAGCTTGCTGTTTAGGGAACTACCAGGAGGAACTCAGTGTGGCTGGAACATGAGATCTTTGGGAAGGATGAAATCAAGCAACTACAATTTGAGAAGAACCTTGTGGACAAGCTATATACCAGCCATCGAATTGCAAACTCTTTTGTCTGTTCTGGGCCAAGCATGGAAACAAGTGAACAAAGCAGACCAAGTTGAGACCATAAGCAGTGGTGGATACTGTGGCAATCTGGAGAATATATTCCCTGTCCAATGATGCCAAATGTCAGGTCTTCCAATTGAGGTTACTTTTTGTTTTTGTTTTTTAAGATTTATGTATT